GTCCTCTTTGTGACTATATAACCCGGTGGTCCATGCTCCAATGTTCACCATTCAGGAGTTGTAGAAAAGCGTCTGAGGAAGCTTCCCTGCAAACTTGGTGTCTCTAGGTCATGGGGGGGGGGAGTATTATAGCCGTTTAATGTGCAGACAAATCAACGGATCGATTCATCAATCCATCAAAGAATATTCGTATATTCGTATTCATTAATTCATTAACCCTGATGAATAAAGGATCAAAGGAATCACCATTATTTTGGTTCATCTCCATCTCTAGCCTGGTTCTCTCTTTTCCTTCTGCCCCAGCAAGAGTTCAATGCAAGATAATCTTTATTTTGTTAGGCTGCAGGCAAAGCACCAATATGAACTTGCAAATGTGCCGGATCAAAGGAATCACCATTATTTTGGTTCATCCCCATCTCTAGCCTGGTTCTCTCTTTTCCTTCTGCCCCAGCAAGAGTTCAATGCAAGATAATCTTTATTTTGTTAGGCTGCAGGCAAAGCACCAATATGAACTTGCAAATGTGCTGCTTTCTTTAGCCTGCTAGCTTAACAAGTCTCCCAGCAAGACGATGCAGGGTTTTGCATCAAAGCTTATCTCAATAGTCTAAATCAAAATCAAAATGTGGCCTGGTGCTCCGTATTGCAAACAGTTATTTACATAGTTGTAAATATATCAAAAGAATTTGGAGATGCACTTCAGCATTTCTATACAAGTTCTATCTGGGGCTGAAGCTCCTGTTCTCCCTATCTAGTTATTCTATAAGCCTGAAGTTAACATATTACAACTAAATTGAAGCAGACAGCTCTGAAAGACTCAGCAGAATTTGGCAACAAAGCTGCAAGAAGAGCCAAAACTGAACCTTGAGGGATCATCAATGTCATCATCACCATCAATGCATTTCTATCAAGGTTTTGTATTAATTGCACCAAAAGTGGCTCACAATAGATCAAATAATAAATAAAGCTAATGAAACAGTTTGTGCTGGTGGCTCTTAATGTTGCCTCCTCATGTCTGCTTTCAAAGAAAATAATCATATCAGAATATTTTTAATGCACTGGAAAGATTGAAGCGAGACAGTCCACAACAGGGAACTGCTCACTTGTGAACAGATTTTTCTTAATGCCGGAGTAATAAGCAATATGGTTTTCTTATGTCAGGCTCAACCTATCCATGAAGCAGGAAGAACAGTCCACTTGGCAAAGTGAATCGAGGAAGGCATCACATCCTGCCACTGCTGTCACATCCCTTCTGCCTTCCCAGTGCATGAGATTGAGGCATCAAGGCATATGCCATGGGATCAGTGTCTGGACATCTAGCTGCTTCATATCTGAGTCTGAGAGCCTGCCATGCTCAAAAGTTTCACTCTGAGCGAGGCAGTGTGACTTCTAGGGGCCACATCTGTGTATCAAGTTTCCTTTCTAGATATCAGAGCTGGCCAACTTTGGTGAGTCCCGAGGCTAATTTAATGCCCTTGAGTTCCTCTGGAGGCCACAAAGATCACAAAAAACGTATTGGGAGGGGGACTTTTTTAACCTGGGGGCTACCTGCACATTGCTTGCCTCTGCTTTATGTGAAAAGCTTGAGGGCTGAATTCTGGTTTCTAGCAGCCATTTTTCCTGTAGGCAGTATATTCTTTCTCTCCAAATATTTATTGAGCTGCTGAAAATGAATTCCTTCTTTATGTGCAATGTACTGTGCCTTTTCAAGAATTCTTCCTGGGCAGCTTATGCCATGCAGGAAGATGGATATATCTTCCTCTACAAACTGCAGTTTGAGGCCACAGCTTTCTGACTTGATATTTTCCTTACCTTCTGCAGTCATTAGTCTGCTCCTGCACACTCCTGTCACTCAAAACCAATAATATATTACCTTCATTTAAAATATAACTTCCGTATTCCCTATAGGGCAAAATAAACATCTCTCCCACATAAGATGGTGGCGGTGATGAATTGAGGATTGAAAAAACACTAATTTTCTCATTCTTATTGATTTAGGCTATCTCAGCTATAGCCAAGAAGTACCAGACTCGTGCTACCTATCCCCTGCTGATGTAAGTCGAGCGGCATTAATCACAGCGGTAAGTTGCTTGCTAGTTAAGAAGGCAACATATTTCTCATCACACACCAGTCACATGACTTGGCACATAATAAGAAATACAACCTCTTAATTGGTGGCGATTTACCATTGGATTTAATGCTGGCGAAAGGAACAGGAGTCTGTCCAAACAGATATGTTGATGAGGGATTTGAAGCCCTGTGAGATTCCTTTCCTAATTTAAGGTGAGGGATAAAGAGTTCACTCTCTTTTTGCATAAAATGTCCATGGCGTCCTTTCCCTTGGAAAAGGAGAACACACACATACACAGAGAGGGGGGGGAGAGAATGAGATTTAGTGAGTGAGAGCGAGAGATTGAAGGAGGGACAGGTAGCACAGAAAGACTGGTTGATTCTTAAAATACCAAGAATACATGTAATGCTCCAGATTGGTATATGGAGCAGCAATTCTCCCAATCTGGACAATTTGAAAAATGCTCAGTTTTATTCAGTCTCCCCCGCCCCCTGCCCGCACTAACATAGGAACTCTATCAAAAGTCCAGGGAATTCCTTGCTATTTTCTCCATTGAGCAGAAGATGTTGTGATTCCTTGTGAGTAATGACAAGAGAAACATGGAATTACTTCAATTGTCATATGCAAGGCTTGAAAAATGCACTCATCTACTTGTCGGTGATGAGTGAATAATGCTATAGAACAAGTCACAGGGTGCTTCCCCCACCCCCGTGTGTCAGGTGCCTAGATCTGCCTTTGTCACTTGAGTGTGTGTCTGTCTGTCTCTGTGTGTGTGTGTCCCTTTCGTGTCTCTCAAGAGGACCCAGACATCTTCTCACGAGAAGAGTTCAAGCAGCACATAGAGATATAGCTCTGCAGGAGAATGTAGACTAGTCCCATGCTGGAGAATATGGATATTTCCTGCTCCCTATTTCAACCGAAAGATGATACATTCTGGGGTGGGAGGGAACTGTGGCTCCTTAACAGGCCGGGCACTTTTGCTTTCAGTTTTATTTTTGCTAGAGACATTAAATAGAAAGGCATTCAAAATGCAAGCTTCATGACCCCACAGGCATGCAGGTAATAAAGCAACTGAAATCTGAGGGCATAAATCAGTGATTCCCAATCCCAATAAATTGCAAGGCTATAGTCCAGTCATGCTGACTGGTGAAATTTTTGATTGACTGGTGAGACATTCTAAAAAATTTCAAGCCCTGGTCATATGGCTATTTCATAGACCTTTCCATGTGTTTGAGGATGCCAGTAGGTTGAAGGATCTGATATTACACAGAGAACAGACAATTCCAGGGATCTGCAACAGGAAAGGATGGATGAGGGTGAGGCAGACAATTTCAGTCAAACTAAATCATACACTTAGCATATATAGGGTAGCGTTGATCCTTCAAGTGGCACATGCTTTTCCTTACCTCTGTGTCTTGCTTATAGCTCTGCTCTGTTCTGAAACCTGGTCACTATAAGGTAAATATGAGCTTACATTTCTCCTGCATTTCCCCTAATTGCTGGGGAAATGTGCTACCATATTTTTCGCTCCATAAGACACAGTTTTCCCCCAAAAAAGTGGGGGAGAAAGTATGTGCAACTTTTGGAACAAATACTGTAAAAAAGGGTACAGCCACCACCACCCAGAAGCCTCCCACTGCCATGCTGGGAGGCCTCTGAACTGGCACCAGAGGCTGCTTGCTGTGGCAGCCACATTGGACCTCACCACTCTGCCAGGCGGGCTTTCCAGAACCTGCCCCCTGGAGCCCACCTGGAAAACCAGCAGGGCCAACAGGCCTGTAGCAGCAAATTTAAATGGCAGAGGACAATGAAAACGGCCAAGGATCAAAGGGGAAAGAGTGATTCTAAAAAGACCAGGGGAAACCATAAATGCAGTCCCCCACTACCACAAATTAGGCAGTTGATTTTCCCACATTTGGGGAAATCACAGGGATCAGCACATGCAAAGCGCAATGGATGAGCCTTACCCTGGGAAAACCACTTTTATGATCATGGTATCTCCCCTGCCAGGTATGAATTGGAGTGGCCCCTGCATCTCCTGCCCCTTTCTGTACCCTGCCCCCCAAAGGCATGGTGATCTCCCGGCTGCACCTCCTGCTCAGAACAGGGCTGCATAGCCCCAGTCCCAGCAGAGGCCAAGAGAGCTCCTCAGTGTTTTGGGGTACCGCACGGGACCCCCATCAGGGGCTGAGTGTTCCTCCCACAATCCTCCAGTGCACAGATATTAGCATACTTAATGTGCAGGGAAGACACGGAAAGTGGGAAATTCAAACTTAGTGGCTGATTGTCTGCTTCCTTGCTAGTCCAAGCGGTTAGAGAGCTGGGAGAGAGACCTGGGACTGCCTGGGATTGCCTGGTATTGTCATTTTAAAATGTAAAAATTAGTTTAAAACTGCTTGTTTGGGGTTAAACCGTGCTTTGGTGAAAAGGTGCTCCGTTTGAGTTGAAACCTGCTTTTGCAGAAACTTGCATACTTGCTTTAAAAGCTGCTAGTTTTGCTTTAAAAGCTGCCTGGGAAGCCTTTCAGACCAGTGCCGATCAGCTGTTAGGTGAGGAGAGGGGAGGGGGAAGGAGTGGAGAAGAGCACAAAATGGCTGCTGGCTGGCTGCTGGCTTTTAGCTGTTTGGTGCTCTTTTTCGGCTGTTAGGCACTGTGAAGAGGTTTTTGGTGCTTTTTTTTTTTTTTTGGCTTTTCTGGGGGCTACCAAGGCACTGTGAAGAGCCAAGCTCAGTCTACAGTAGCTGGTAAATGACTTTCTTTTAAATTTTTTTAAAGTTTCTGACCTTTTTTCCTCCATAAGAATGCATTAATTAATTTTCAATGCATTTCTATGGCAAATTTGGATTCGACTTGCAAACTTTTCAACCAGTTCATGGCATCTAATAGAGAATGTATTTCCAAAGGGTGTTGTAGCAAGGAAACTAACTGTGCTTTATGAGCCAGAACACAAACTTGGCTGCTGATCACAAATTAACCCTGCATACATGGGAAAGCAAAATTCAGTCTTACTTTTAGTTGTTTCCAAGTCCTTATGATTGCGGTATCTCTATGATGTATCTAAATCAGAACAGGACAAGGAAGTCTCAGGGACAGGGCATAGTTATTTGGTTATTGTTTTTGGACGCTTGTGTAGAAACGTGCAGACTTATTTTAAAAGCTGCCTAGGAAGTGTTCAGACCAGCGCCGATCAGCTGTTAGGTGGGGAGAGGGGAGGGGAAAGGAGCAGGAGCAGGAGCGGAGAAGAGCACAAAATGGCTGCCAGCTGCTGGCTGCCTGCTGGCTTTTAGCTGTTTGGGGGTCCTTTTTGGCTGTTCTGGGGTCTACCAAGGCACTGTGAAGAGCAAGGCTCAGTCTGCAGTACCTGGTAAATTACTTTCTTTTAAGTTTTTTAAAGTTTCTGACCTTTTCCCCCTCATAAAAATGCATTAATTAATTTTCAATGCATTTCCATGGGAAATTTGGATTCAACCTGCAAACTTTTCAACTAGCTCTGGGCATCTAATAGATAATGTATTTCCAAAGGGTGTTGCAGCAAGGAAACTAACTGTGCCTCGTGACTTCTAACTGGATTACAGTACCTGCTTCCTGATTTCAGCTACTATAGTTTGTATTCAGTTTTTTTGGCTTGCCAAGAACATTGTTCCTACCTTTGTGTTGCCTAACCTGTTGTGCCTTGCATGTTATAAACCTTCAATTATGTCAGAAAATCGAGATTTGATCTTATGCTGAGCATGTGCTACTGCTGGTGAATGGGATCAGGTTAAGCTTTGTGTTACTGTTATTTTGCATAACCTAAAGTAAATCAGGAAATCCAGCTGTTAAATAGTTTAATTCCACTATTTATTCTTCACACAATTAAAAGGGACCTCTCAATGCAGTGCCAAATCAGACAAACCATTTCTAACTTAATATAGGCTTGAGCTGTAGCTGGGCAGAGTTGCACAACAATCTCATCTGTCATTCAGACATTTCTATAAGTATGGGGAGGAGGTGGATGAAAGGAAATGTAAAATATAGGTAGTGTGGTATAGGTCTTATCACTAGCTGATAATGGTCTATGTGTACTTGACTTAAATTTATGGTACACAAATTTATGGTACATAAACTAGAGTACACAAACCTTTAAGTCTCTCCATTTGTTAATGACAGTGGTAATGCCACTGCTGACTGCTGTTCACTTTACATGGTTCAAATGTTATTCTGTTATAGTTTATTAAATATTTTATTATACTATTTGGTTCAGAATATATTTTCCCTGTTTTCCTCCTCTAAAAATTAGGTGTGTCTTCAGGTCTTTTGCACCGTCTTATGAAGCAAAAAATATAATTTCCCATAACACTTAATTACATGTTTTAAGTCTGTTGCTAGCAAAACACAAGTTTGCAACTGTTTTAAACAGACACAAACACTGTTGTGGTAGACAGTACTAGGTCTGTCTTTATCAGACCCGTTACAGACTACCAATATCATTTATGATGTTTACTAACAAGATCAGTTAAGAATGTAACCCATAGTTATTTTTATCACTATACAATTGTCTGATCTCTAGCTATAAAATCATGCTGAAAGGGCAATTTAAATCCAGTCTCTCTCATATTGTGACTGATAAAATCAAGATAAATCTGTGCTGTAGCTAAGTCCATTAGCTTCTAGTCTAATTCACACTTAGCAGGGATGTGCACTGGGGGGAATCCCTTTCTTCCTCATCTTTTATTCATATTGGGTTTTTTAAATTGTTTTATAATTTTATTTATTTTGGAAAATTTCAATGTGTATTTTATACACAATGTATATTTTATATGTATACTTTCAGATCAGTTAATTCAGATTTGTTTTCATATTTTGGAAATCAATGTTTGTTATTCCTCTTCCTACTCTCCATCTCACTCTTCTTCAGCTGCCCAATAGTGCTGTCATTTTGAATCCACCTGAAATGAGATCTGTAGGTTTGGGGCTATTGCTGCCAGCATGAGGCCTGCCAGATTTCACAAAGTATCTCTTA